TTATTATTATTATTACTATTATTATTATTACTATATTATTATATTATTATTATTATTATTATTATTATTATTATTATATTACTTATTACTATTATTATTTTTATTATTATTATTATATTATTATTATTATTGAAGCGCGCCAGATCAGTAGGTACTTAGATTTGATCCACAGTAAAGGGAAGATAGCTTAGTTCCTTGGATGAAGAGCTTCTCTCCAGCAACAAGGCTCCGCCCTAGAAGAGTCTGGTTGGAAGTTTTATTTCTGACTGTCGTTCGGCACTGGAGAGGTGACGGAAGCTTTGCTGTTATTCACAATACCAGTCTTTCTCAGGTTTTCTCTATCCTGTCAAGCCGTCTACATCGAGAATATAATTATTATACCACAAGACTGGCAATCTTCGGAAGATTAAATCTAGAAGTCTCCTTGGGTGGCTCGTGTTTGTGACGGGTTCCCACAGCAAACATTACCTGCACCAGTTGATCATTGTTTACAGGAAATTCCAACTACACCCTGTGTCTTGTGTGGCCAGGCTTAGAGAGAGAGAGAGGAGAGAGAGAGAGAGGAGAGAGAGAGAGAGAGAGAGAGAGAGAGAGAGACAGAGTATAATACAGAGAGCAGCATAACGATAAACCAATAGAACCAGTGACGAACTGCTTAACAAGAGTTTTTTCATTCAGTCTCCGAATGGAAACATTTCTCCATCCGAATACTACACACACACACACACACACACACACACACACACACACACACACACACACACACACACACACACACACACACACACCACACACACACACACACACACAACGGGGCCAGGAGCTGAGTATCGACCCCTGCAACCACAATTAGGTGAGTACACACACACACGCGCGCGCGCACATACACACCAGCGAAGAGGCGGGGGCCAGGAGCTGCCAATCGTCCCTTGCAATCACAAATAGGTGAACACACACATACACACCAGCGAAAAGACGGGGACCAGGAGCTGCGAATCGACCCCGGCAATCACAAATAGGTGAACACACACGCTTTTCCGTGGCTCTCCAAAAATTTCTCCACATAAGACGCACGTTGCCTCGCCGCCTGGCAAACGCGTATCATTAATCACAAGGAGAAAACCAAAGCTTTCTTAAAAGTTATGTAGTTATTTTGAGCAAATTTACGTTTGTGAGAGTGTGCGTACGTAAGAGTATGAGTGCGTAAGAGTGTGCGTACGTAAGAGCGTGCGTGCGTAAGACTGGTAAGATTGCGTGGGTATGAGTGTGCCTGAGTATGTGTGCGTGTTTCAGAGTGTGCGTGCGGAAGAGTGCACGTGTGTATGAGTGTGTTTCGGGAAGCGTATTCCTGATGGATTGTGTGTGCGGCGTCATGTTTAGTATGTGTGTGCGTGTGCGTGTGTGCGTGTGCGTGTGTGTGTGTGTGTGTGTGTGTGTGTGTGTGTGTGTGTGTGTGTGTGTGTGTGTGTGTGTGTGTGTGTGTGTGTGTGTGCGAGCGCGTTTAGAAGTGCGTGCATTGCATGTGTGTGTTTGTAATTACGTATTTGTAGCTACAGCAGCAGTGCTGTACTCGCGATGTCCAGTCGTCAGTATTCTGTCCATAACACGTATATATTACCAGTGGTTGTAACATTCGTCAGTTCCTCTTAATGCAGTCCACTTGGTCATCCACTCTGACCAAAACAAATGCATATGATCCTTTCCGCTCTACCTTTTCCTCAGTTTACATTAGTGTCTTCTTGTTATTCATGTGAGAAATTACCTGCATGAGGTTTACAGGGTATTACCTGAATTATTACCAGCAAGTAATTTGGGTGAGGTAATTGGGACTTAGTTGACGTAGGTCACTGAACTGTCACTCCTTCGATGCTCACTCCTTCACCACTCTCACAAAAAAAAGCTTGACCTGACATTAAATTAATAATTACAATATTAAACATTAATATCAATAATGGTAAATTATAATATAGTGGACCAATATATATATATATATATATATATATATATATATATATATATATAATTGCATATTTCGACGTTTCGTAATAGTTGCAGCATTTTTTTTTTTTGGTATGTTTCAATTTCTAGCTAAATTATGTTGATTATTTCACTTTTAATCGAAACTGATTTTTTTTATCAGCGTCTAGTAACAATTTCTTTACTTCCTTTTCAGTTAGTTCAGTATCGTCTGTCTGTCTGTCTGTCTGTGTCTGTCTGTGTCTGTCTGTCTGTGTCTGTCTGTCTGTGTCTGTCTGTCTGTGTCTGTCTGTCTGTGTCTGTCTGTCTGTGTCTGTCTGCCTGTCTGTATGTGTCTGTCTGTCTGGGATAAATGTCTTTTTAACAAGTTCTTCTTTCGTGAACACAAACTATTTATTACCTCACACATTTCCTTATCTACTGTGTGTGTGTGTGTGTACGCACCTACTTGTGTTTGCAGGGGTCGAGTCACAGCTCCTGGTCCCGCCTCTTTACTGGCCGCTACTAAGTGTGTGTGTGTGTGTGTGTGTACTCACCTAGTTGTACTCACCTAGTTGAGGTTGCGGGGGTCGAGTCCGAGCTCCTGGCCCCGCCTCTTCACTGAACGCTACTAGGTCACTCTCTCTGAACCGTGAGCTTTATCATACCTCTGCTTAAAGCTATGTATGGATCCTGCCTCCACTACATCGCTTCCCAAACTATTCCACTTACTGACTACTCTGTGGCTGAAGAAATACTTCCTAACATCCCTGTGATTCATCTGTGTCTTCAGCTTCCAACTGTGTCCCCTTGTTACTGTGTCCAATCTCTGGAACATCCTGTCTTTGTCCACCTTGTCAATTCCTCTCAGTATTTTGTATGTCGTTATCATGTCCCTCCTATCTCTCCTGTCCTCCAGTGTCGTCAGGTTGATTTCCCTTAACCTCTCCTCGTAGGACATACCTCTTAGCTCTGGGACTAGTCTTGTTGCAAACCTTTGCACTTTCTCTAGTTTCTTCACGTGCTTGGCTAGGTGTGGGTTCCAAACTGGTGCCGCATACTCCAATATGGGCCTAACATACACGGTGTACAGGGTCCTGAATGATTCCTTATTAAGATGTCGGAATGCTGTTCTGAGGTTTGCTAGGCGCCCATATGCTGCAGCAGTTTTTTGGTTGATGTGCGCTTCAGGAGATGTGCCTGGTGGTATACTCACCCAAGATCTTTTTCCTTGAGTGAGGTTTGTAGTCTCTGACCCCCTAGACTGTACTCCGTCTGCGGCCTTCTTTGCCCTTCCCCAATCTTCATGACTTTGCACTTGGTGGGATTGAACTCCAGGAGCCAATTGCTGGACCAGGTCTGCAGCCTGTCCAGATCCCTTTGTAGTTCTGCCTGGTCTTCGATCGAGTGAATTCTTCTCATCAACTTCACGTCATCTGCAAACAGGGACACCTCAGAGTCTATTCCTTCCGTCATGTCGTTCACAAATACCAGAAACAGCACTGGTCCTAGGACTGACCCCTGCGGGACCCCGCTTGTCACAGGTGCCCACTCTGACACCTCGCCACGTACCATGACTCGCTGCTGTCTTCCTGACAAGTATTCCCTGATCCATTGTAGTGCCTTTCCGTTATCCCTGCTTGGTCCTCCAGTTTTTGCACCAATCTCTTGTGTGGAACTGTGTCAAACGCCTTCTTGCAGTCCAAGAAATGCAATCCACCCACCCCTCTCTCTCTTGTCTACTGCTGTCACCATGTCATAGAACTCCAGTAGGTTTGTTGACACAGGATTTCCCGTCCCTGAAACCATGTTGGCTGCTGTTGATGAGATCATTCCTTTCTAGGTGTTCCACCACTCTTCTCCTGATATCTTCTCCATGATTTTGCATACTATACATGTCAGTGACACTGGTCTGTAGTTTAATGCTTCATGTCTGTCTCCTTTTTTAAAGATTGGGACTACATTTGCTGTCTTCCATGCCTCAGGCAATCTCCCTGTTCGATAGATGTATTGAATATTGTTGTTAGGGGTACACATAGCGCTCTGCTCCCTCTCTCAATACCCATGGGGAGATGTTATCTGGCCCCATTGCCTTTGAGGTATCTAGCTCACTCAGAAGCCTCTTCACTTCTTCCTCGGTTGTGTGCACTGTGTCCAGCACTTGGTGGTGTGCCCCACCTCTCCGTCTTTCTGGAGTCCCTTCTGTCTCCTCTGTGAACACTTCTTTGAATCTCTTGTTGAGTTCTTCACATACTTCACGGTCATTTTCTGTTGTCTCTCCTCTTCCTTCCTTAGCCTGATTACCTGGTCCTTGACTGTTGTTTTCCTCCTGATGTGGCTGTACAACAGTTTCGGGTCAGATTTGGCTTTCGCTGCTATGTCATTTTCATATTGTCTTTGGGCCTCCCTTCTTATCTGTGCATATTCGTTTCTGGCTCTACGACTGTTCTCCTTATTCTCCTGGGTCCTTTGCCTTCTATATTTCTTCCATTCCCTAGCACACTTGGTTTTTGCCTCCCTGCACCTTTGGGTAAACCATGGGCTCATCCTGGCTTTTCATTAATCCTGTTACCCTTGGGTACAAACCTCTCCTCAGCCTCCTTGCATTTTGTTGCTACATATTCCATCATCTCATTAAACTGGCTTCCCTGCCAGTTCTCTGTCCCACTGAACCCCGTTCAGGTAGTTCCTCATTCTGTGTATTCCCCTTTCTTGTAGTTTGGCTTCATTCGTCCTGGCCTTCCTGCTTCCTCCCTCCACTTGTAGCTCTACTGTGTATTCGAAGCTTAAAACCACATGGTCACTGGCCCCAAGGGGTCTTTCATATGTGATGTCCTCATGTGTGGTGTGTGTGTGTGTGTGTGTGTGTGTGTGTGTGTGTGTGTGTATATGTATATGTATATATATATATTATATATTATATATAATATATATATATATATATATATATATATATATATATATATATATATATATATATATATATATAATTAATGTGTGAGTGGAGTATACAAGACCTGGTTTCATGCAATTGCTTCCTGCAGCGTGTGACTTTGCTGGTGTTGGCAATGGTGTCCCTGCTGGCCCCTGGGGACTGCCAATCTTCCAGCAGACTACAGCAGATGATGACCAACTTTGCCAGCAACGTGAGCAACTTTGCGGCGAGGATCAGCAGTGGCGTGTACAGGTGAGTATTGGGGTGCGAGGTGAGCTTTAAGGTGGCAGACAGTTCGGTTGTCAGGTATCAGGCGAGTCTTAAGGTGGGTCTTGTGGGTGATATCTGACCCCTTGAGGTTATGGCTCAGTCTTCAGGTGGCAGGTGAATTTTGAGTGATAGGCGAGTCTCAAAATGACGGGTAACAGGTGTGAAGTTAATGATGTTTCATGTAGATTCAGTTTTGATTCTAGGTGAAGTTGGAGAAGCTTTCAGGTGATGGGTGAATCTATAGGGTGAGTTATATTGGTCTAGTTATATCTAAGTAGGTTCTAGGTAAAGTTTGTCATGAAAGGACAAACTTATGGTGAATCTTTCAACACAACGAGCGATGGAAACAGAATTTTATTATTTTTTTTTTAGGTAATAATAGAGGTTCTGTAAGTTTGTTGACGTTAGGAGAATCTAGGTGAATCACTTAAGATTAAGTCATAGCTAACTTTAAATTCCTGAACGCTTCTCTTAGATTGCCAAAGCAGCTGAATATTTTCTGCAGTTGCCGTGTGCCTCTGACAATATGTTTGGCACTATGCTCACTCCTAGGTCCTCGCAAACTTCCTTGTTTCTCGTGATCTCTCTTACCCTCGTTCGTCTGTTTTCGTGTGTGTGTGTGTGTGTGTGTGTGTGTGTGTGTGTGTGTGTGTGTGTGTGTGTGTGTGTATGTGTGTATATGTGTGTGTGTGTGTGTGTGTGTGTGTGTGTGTGTGTGTGTGTAGTGAAAAAAAAGGACAGCATATCATTGGTCACTTAAGAGGTGCGTCGGTTCCCCTGTCTTTTAATATCATGTTGATTTTTCCCCTATTATCTACCTTGTCCATAATTACTATCGCATTTGCTTTGTCTGTTTTCGTAAGCTAGATTATAGGGAAAAAATAAACATGATATTAGGAGACAGGGAAACTCACGCGCCTCTTAACAACTCCTCCCTCCCACAGAACCTTCAATGGACGTGAGATCCCCGTGCGTCATCGCCAGCACCTCGCTAGACAACAAAAACAGAAACAACAGCTATCTATATCCGACCCCGAGCTGGACGAAAATAACTTGATCGCCCCTAACGCCCTACCGCAGAAACCCCTGTCACAGCAACAACAGCAAGTACAAGGCATTCGCCCGCTCCTTCGCCAAAACCGCAACCGCCTCTCTTTCCGACAGTTCGTGGACGGGACGATGTCTCGGCTCGCGAACATGCTCCCCAGACTTCGTCGACGTGCCTTCAACCGTCAGCGCAATACTCGCGACATCCAGGTAAGACTTCCGACAGATCATGCTTACTATGACCATCAGGAGAGTGATTTCGGTGTCTCGTCGAGATCCCTTCAGCCCAGCTCCCATTCGAATCCCACGTCCATTCACGTCTCTGTAAATTTGTATGGAGGAGATAATGACCAACCAGCTGGGTCCTCCAGCCCTGATCATTCTCTCACCGTCAAACACTATTCCAACCACACTCTTGACGTCAAGCATCATTCACAACATGAAACAAAAGTGAGGGACAACTTGGTGAATGTGACAAAGAAGGTTAATGCTTCGGAGGACACGACGAAGTTCCTAGACAAGACAAAAGACGTATCTCCTCCGTACCTTACTGCAGGAGTCCAACCGTATTACCCATACCCAAACCTCAACAGTTTCTTCAACCACTATGACGCTTCGCACTGGTGGCCTCAGGATATGTGGCAAACCCAGCAGAACTCAGGAAGTACTTTCAATAGCCAAGATAACAGCTACGGCACTCTTCCATCTTCTACTGTCAACTACCCAAGCCCAGTGAGTTTCAGTTTCAATAAAGATGAGGAATCCAGATGGATGTTAAGCAAAGGTGGCTATAGCACCTCAGACTACAAGGATGGTTATCTACACGGATACGACCAGGGTTATGACGACGGTAGGGTTAGAGGCAGTTTAGATGGGAATCAGTGGTCAAGCGGCAATATGAATGCCCCAGACAGTAGTCTAAAGGAAATCTACAGCGTCTGGGGAAATCCTGGTGTTAACAACAAGAAATGGGGTCCTGAAACTAACAACGGTAGATGGAATTCAGGTACTAACAAGGGCAGAGGGAGTCCAGGTACTGAGAACAACGGCAGGGGCCAGGTCAGTAGCGGCACTTATCAGGTAAGTTGGTATGCTAACAAGGTGTTGGATGAAGGTACAAGGTGTGGCGGTCAGTGTTTATGGGACGAACTAATGAATTTCCTTGATCATTACAGCACGAGTGAGAGCCGCGGGGTGATGGGAGCCTCGCCTGCAGCTGGGTCGGTGGGGCATGTGGTACGCTCAATGAACAGGCACCCCAATACCCAACACAACGACCATCCTGCCTACATCTCCTCTCATAACCTTGTATATAGTCACACGCCTAACATTAATCCAAATCTTCCCGGAATGAGCAACGTCAACAGTGCTTCCAGCCGACGTCGTCCTGGGAGCCACTTCAACTCTCCTCAGCTTAAAGCGGGTGGCGAACCTTATTCTGGGGATACTCGGCAGTACATCTCTGTTTCAAGGGATCAAGGGAATGGCAAAACCCTACCCCCTGGCCCACTGAGGTACCGCCCTAACTACGACCTGATCTTCGATAAAGGTCGGCGGGTGCGTGGCCGAGAGGCCGGACATGAAAGCAACCCAAGTAGTAGCTCGAGGCGCCTCTGAAGCGATCTCAGTGTTGCAGATTATTCCCATTTCGACTGTCTGGTCCGCTACCAGATTACAATTTCGTCTACTACCATTTCATCTGCTGCCAAATTACTATTTCATCTACATGTGGGTTCCCGTTCCATAATGAGTTAAAAGACCCACACGGTTTTAGCGCGTCATGTAAATACAATAAATCCCGACTCACGAACTCTTAATAACACGACTGCAATTAAACCACTGGCCTGTGAGTTTTAGGACTCACTTGTCATAGGTTCGAACCCCACCCGTTCCGTGGTTTATATTAAATTCCAATTCATCTACCATCTTTTATTGTCAACTCCCAATATGCCTACTCTGAACATGTCACGTTCTCAGTCACTACTCTCATCATATTGTTGATGATTACAGTACGTACACATTGATGAATAGGACACGCGTGGATTTCTTGGGAATCTTTATTGCTGCAACGCTTCGCCTCTACCTGAGGCTTATGTCGAATACAGGTGAATAAAACACCGGAGACAGCAGTAGTTTCAGTACTTTCAGTAGTTTCGAGGAGATCCGTCCTTCACCATGGTAAGTTTATTCAGTTATACACAGATACAGTTACATAGATGATCATACATACCAGCATATGTGTAAAGTACCTGGGATAACCCAAAAAAGTCAGACAGAGAGACTTATTTCCATTGGGGTGGGTGGTCAGTCCCTCAGGATTGTGGGACTGGCCTGAGAGACTGACCTCAAACCAGACTTGTGGGACTGATCGCCTCCCAACAAGGCTAAATAACTAGACGCCTCAAAACTACTTCCTCTACTCTCTCCATTGTTATTTTGGTATATATTCTGCTGAAGAAGCCTTCTGTGTAGGCGAAACGTTTCGGTAATAAAGATACCGAAGTATCAGTTAATGTTCTATGTAAGTTACTTCACACATAATAACGTGTACATTGTCGCGGAATTGTATATAGTTGTTGACATTCTGTAACCTAACCTAACTTGGCCTAACCTAACTTGGCCTAACCTAACTTGGCCTAACCTAACTTGGCCTAACCTGACCTAACCTAACTTGGCCTAACCTAACTTGGCCTAACTTGGCCTAACTTGGCCTAACCTGACCTAACCTAACTTGGCCTAACCTAACCTAACTTGGCCTAACCTGACCTAACCTAACTTAGCCTAACTTAACCTAACCTAACTTGGCCTAACCTAACCTAACCTAACTTGGCCTAACCTAACTTGGCCTAACCCTGCCTTAGCTGACCTAATGAATATCCCAATACAAGCTTGTCCAGCAGTGTGTCACAACACAAGAAAGTTTGACTAATAGCTTACCGTATCCCTCTCTGGTTAGAGCCTGTAGTGCTGGACGGCCTCCACTACACCAGGTTTGTAAAATACACCTGTCCCTGCCTTACCTATCTAAATTACCTAAACGGGAGTAGACTATTAGGGAAGATATGTAGATAAATGGTTCAGAGAGTCGACAAGTTGATAAATTAGACACATGTGCAACGCTCTGGTATCTTGTGGAAATGGTACCATAATAAAGATACCTGAGTGTGGCACATGTCTAATTTATCACTAGGGAAGAGCAGCCACTTCAAGAGTGGATGTCATTACATTAGACATAATGTGAGTAGAACACTGGTATTAGATACCTCCGACCCAACAAATGGACCTGCCTAACATGAGCCAGTAGATCTCCGGCAGTGCTCCTGCAGTAGGCCTGCAGTCTTTAACACCCTCGCCTCCTCTCTCGCCATCATCACCTCTCTCCCCCATTAATAATCTCCCCCTCTCCACCCACCACCAGTCACCACCTACAGTAATGCATCCTAACCCTTGCATGGCTAAGCCTTATACTGACCCACGTGCAAAACAGCCACAGGGGGAGTTGAATGACAGCTCCAGGCCTTTCGTGTTGCTATCAGCACATCAGGAGCTAGCAATGTTGCAGAAAAAGAGGAATTTCATTCAAAAACGTTCTGAACGTATTAGCCTGGTACTCATTTTCTTTCTGCAACATATTGCAAGCTCCTGATATGCTGATCGCAACACGAAAGGCCTGGAGCTGTCATTCAACTCCCCCTGTGGTTGTTTTGCATTCTGAATCGCTTGTTCGCGATTATTGCCTAATTAACCCATGTGTATAAAGACATGTTTACATGTCACGTCTGATATATCATGTCTGTGGTCCTAGCACGTCAGTCATAATTACTAAACATACAAAGTAATTATAAGTTTAATCTTAGGTTACCTGTCCAATTAATAATCTTGAGTTAATTACCTTTAAAAAATAATTCATAGCTCTGTTGAATTATCTTTAAATAAGGTTTGAAGTTCTCTGTAAAATTTGTCATTTAAATTATTATTATTAATTATTATTATTATTATTATTATTATTATTATTATTATTATTATTATTATTATTATTATTATTATTATTATTTATTAGTAGTTATAAATGGGGAAGAGCCGAAACCCGTAGGGGTCATACAACTCTTGGAGTATGGAAGATACTCATATTTGATCTAAGGAAAGGGAGAGTAGCTCAGACTCCTTGGATCATAAGCCCCTCACCGGTACCCCCCCCAAAGAACTCGTCTAAGTTAACCAAGTTTGTTAATAACTTTTGTTACGTACATATAATAGTTTATTTTTGTTAAGTTTTGTTGTTGTTGTTGCTAGAGGTTGTATTGCACTATTGCATGAAGATGTTAGACCATAAGGGTCACTCTCTTATCCGTAGAGTGTGTGGAAGGAACCTTGTAGCACCCTTGAGGTTCATAAGGCTTATTCTCTTATCCTGGGAGTGTGTAGAAGGAGCCTTATAGCTCCCGCTCTAACTTGTATATAGAAAGCTTGTGTAATGTACGAAGATGTGAGCCAGGCTGGTCCTGGCTCCTTTATTTATTGTAAATAAATATATACTACTCTTTACTAAAGCGTATTGTTATCCTCTCTGTACTCACCTGTATGTTGTTCCAGGGGTCGGGTCACAGCGCCTGTGTGTGTGTGTGTGTGTGTGTGTGTGTGTGTGTGTGTGTGTGTGTGTGTGTGTGTGTGTGTCTGTGTGTCTGTGTGTCTGTGTGTGTGTGTGTGTGTGTGTGTGTACTCACCTATCTGTGGTTGAAGGTGTCGAGTCTTAGCTCCTGGCCCCGCGTGTATGTATGTGTGTGTGTGTGTCTGTGTGTGTCTGTACTCACCTATTTGTACTCACCTATTTGTGGTTGCAGGGGTCGATTCATAGCTCCTGGCCCCGCCTCTTCACTGATTGCTACTAGGTCTTCTCTCTCCCTGCCCCATGAGCTTTATCATACCTCGCCTTAAAACTATGTATGGTTCCCGCCTCCACTACGTCTCTAGGCTATTCCACGGCCTGACTACTCTATGACTGAATACTTCCTAACATCCCTTTGATTCATCTGAGTCTTCAACTTCCAATTGTGACCTCTTGTGTCTGTGTCCCATCTCTGGAACATCCCGTCTTTGTCCACCTTGTCTATTCCGCGCAGTATTTTATATGTCGTTATCATGTCTCCCCTGACCCTCCTGTCCTCCATTGTCGTCAGGCCGATTTCCCTCAACCTTTCCTCGTAGGACAATCCCCGTAGCTCTGGGACTAGTCTTGTTGCAAACCTTTGCACCTTCTCTAATTTCTTGACGTGCTTGACTAGGTGTGGATTCCAAACTGGTGCTGCATACTCCAGTATGGGCCTGACGTAAATGGTATACAGAGTCTTGAACGAATCGTTGCTGAGGTATCGGAACGCTATCTGTAGGTTTGCCAGGCGCCCGTATGCTGCAGCAGTTATCTGATTGATGTGCGCCTCAGGAGATATGCTCGGTGTTATACTCACCCCCAGATCTTTTTCCTTGAGTGAGGTTTGCAGTCTTTGGCCATCTAAACTATATTGTGTCTGCGGTCTTCTTTGCCCTTCCCCAATCTTCATGACTTTGCATTTGGCAGGGTTAAACTCAAGGAGCCAGTTACTGGACCACGCTTGTAGCCTGTCCAGGTCTCTTTGTAGTCCTGCTTGATCCTCATCTGATTTGATTCTTCTCATTAACTTCACATCATCTGCAAACAAGGACACTTCTGAGTCTATCCCTTCCGTTATGTCGTTCACATATACCAAGAACAGCACAGGTCCTAGGACTGACCCCTGTGGAACCCCACTTGTCACAGGCGCCCACTCTGACACCTCGTCACGTACCATGACTCGTTGTTGCCTCCCTGTCAGGTATTCTCTGATCCATTGCAGTGCCTTTCCTGTTATGTGTGCCTGATCCTCTAGCTTTTGCAGTAACCTCTTGTGAGAAACTGTGTCGAAGGCCTTTTTGCAGTCCAAAAAAATGCAGTCGATCCACCCCTCTCTCTCTTGCCTTACTTCTGTCACCTTGTCATAAAACTCTAGTAGGTTTGTGACACAGGATTTTCCTTCCCTGAAACCGTGCTGGTTGTCAATTATACACTTGTTTCTTTCCAGGTGCTCCACCACTTTCCTCCTGATGATCTTCTCCATGACCTTGCATACTATACACGTTAGTGCCTCATGTCTGTCTCCCTTTTTAAAAATTGGGACTACATTTGCCATCTTCCATACCTCGGGGAGTTGCCCAGTTTCAAATGATGTGTTGAAGATCTTTGTTAGTGGTACACACAATATCTCTGCTCCCTCTTTAAGGACCCACGGAGAGATGTTGTCTGGTCCCACCGCCTTTGAGGTGTCAAGTTCGCATAGCAGCTTCTTCACCTCCTCCTTGGTTATATGTATTTCATCCAGCACTTGCTGGTGCACCCCCCTGTTCTGATATCCTGGAGTCCTACTGGTTTCCACTGTAAATACTTCTTTGAATCTTCTCCATGACCTTGCCTTTCATACATGATATCCTCGATGTCCGAACTACTCAAGGCGAATACAAGGTCCAGTCTTGCTGGTTCATCCTCTCCTCTCTCTCTGGTAGGGTCTCTAACATGATGCATGAGGTTTTCCAGTACCACATCCATCATCTTGGCTCTCCATGTTTCGGGACCCCCAAGGGGCTCCTGGTTTTCCTAGTCAATCTCCTTGTGATTGAAATCACCCATAACTAGTAACTTTGCTCCCCCTATGTGTGCTCTCCTGGCCACCTCGGCTAGTGTGTCAACCATTGCTCTGTTGCTCTCATCGTATTCTTCTCTTGGCCTCCTGCAGTTCTGTGGTGGATTGTACATTACTGCAATTATCACCTTATGTCCCTCAGATTTGATTGTTCCTACTAAGTAGTCCCTTTCGCCCGTGCCATCCATTCCTTCCATTTTCTCAAAACCCCACTGGTTTTTAATGAGCAGTGCAGCTCCTCCTCCTCCGTGTGTGTGTGTGTGTGTGTGTGTGTGTGTGTGTGTGTGTGTGTGTGTGTGTGTGTGTGTGTGTGTCTGTTTGTGTGTGTGTGTCTGTGTCTGTGTCTGTGTCTGTCTGTGTGTGTCTGTGTGTGTGTGTATTTACCTAGTTGTACTCATCTAGTTGTGGTTGCAGGGGTCGATTCATAGCTCCTGGCACCGCCTCTTTACTGGCCGCTACTCGGTCTCTCTTCCCACTCCATGAGCTTTATCATACCACTTCTTAAAGCTATGTATGGACCCTGCCTCCAATACATCACTAACCAGACTATTCCATTTCCCGACAACTCTGTGACTGAAGAAATGCTTCCTAACATCCCTATGATGCATTTGAGTCTTCAACTTCCAACTGTGACCCCTTGTTGCTGTGTCCCATCTCTGGAACATCCTGTCTCTGTTCACCTTGTCGATTCCTCTCAGTATTTTATATGTCGTTATCATGTCCCCCCTATCTCTCCCGTGTGTGTGTGTGTGTGTGTGTGTGTGTGTGTGTGTGTGTGTGTGTGTGGTGTGTGTGTGTGTTGTGTGTGTTGTGTGTGTGTGTGTGTGTTTTCAGAGTTCAACATTCCCTACTTTACCTCGACCACCTCCTTGCCAGATGTATAGCGGTCGGGTCTTGTAATTTGGGGTTAATTATACGTGTTTCCCAACCTAACCAAACCATATATAACCTAATTTAAATCAACTTGTTTTGAAATCAACAAAATAGCATTTGTAGAGGAAGAAAAAAATATCAAGCGTTGAGAATCTGATGTCGAAAACCTCATAAAAATTCACATATAAATACTCACGTCGCCTCATAATTCAAAACATTCTCAATAAATCTGATTGTAGATAATGTCATTGTTATTTTGGCTAGCATCTTCCGTGCAGAATTATCCTCGTGTCAGGTATTCAAGGCAAGACTGTAGTAGAGACTTGATCCTCTCTCCATTCATCACGCCCCTTCCCCCCCTCAAGGAAGGGTCCTTGATGCTGGTGAAGGGCTCTTGATCTAAGGAATTGAATCTGTGCTCCGGTTCTCTGAATTAAGCCTGAATACCTTCCATATCCCACCCCCATACAGGCGCTGTATAATCCTACGGGTTTAGCGCTTGCCCCCTTGATTGTAATAATCATCACGGCCCGAGGTCTGACTGTTGACTTGTGGGAGGACAGGGGATGAGGGACTTAACGGTGCTCCAGAAGGGATCGAAACGTCGTCTGACGTTTCCTCTCCAAAGTGTGGGTAATTCGAGAATTGTTCCAGCCAGGGTATGGTTCCAGTCAGGGCATTGTTCCAGCTAGAACATTTTTCCAGCCACTGTATTGTTCCAGCAAGTGCATTGTTGCATCCACGGTATTGTTCCAGCCATTGTATTGTTCCAAACACTGTACTGCGCCTTTTATTCCCCATGGCTATGTATCCGAGTAATTTAATGTCTTGAAAATAAGATATTGTTCTTATTTTTAACCCCGGAGAGTTAGCCACCCAAGATAACCCAAGAAAATCAGTGCGTCATCGAGGGACTGTCTTATTTCCACTGTTGTCCTCAATCATGTCGTCCTGGTCAACGCTCAGCTAATTCGCTAGAGTCAGTATCAGGGCAACTGGAGATATTCTGACGACATTTAATGCAGCACAACTTGCGATCCCGTATAGCTGATGGAATGAGATATCGACATGTTCTGTTCTGTTTTAGGTTCGCCGGTATAATCGCCCGGCCCGGGCCTTTTCCAAGAGGTGGTCCGGCCAAAAAAATGCCGACATGAATAATAAAGGCATACAACTGGAAAATCTTGACTGGACATAAGGACAGCGATACACATTCGACGTAAATCGCTGTATCGGTCTCCCTAACATGTTGGTGACCAAGACACATGTGCAGCAGTTAGGTTTCTCCTAGACAGCAGGTTTCTTCAGTCAACTTGTCGGTATTTTATACCATTTTCAAAACACTTTAGCATGTATAACCACAAT